TTTTTTTGGTGATGGCTACCTCTTTCTGAGAGATGTACCTCCCAGCCTTCACTTACCAGCACAGATACAGATCTTGTCCGGGAGTGAATCAGACCAGGTCAACCTTGGAATCACCTAGCTGTCTGAGGATTTCAGGATTGTGTGAGGATGGGTTGGGGGAAGAAAACAAGGGAATGAATTTGAGTGTAAAAAATCATCCTTGCTAGGAGGAAGCTTTGTGGAGTAGTTGAAAGCAAAGCTTTGGGGTCATACTGCTTGGATTCCAAACTTGCCTCTACCATTTAATATCTTTGAACCTTGTCAAGTTACTTAATCTCTTTGAACTTCAGTCTCTTTATCTATAAAATGGGGATAATAACCTTTAAGATGGTTATAAGGATTAAATGAGTGTCATCGTATCTGGCTCATAATAAGTACTCAATAAATATTAGCTGTTAGCCTTTATCATTCACTTTCCATTCTCTTCCTTCTGTTTCTCAATTCTTGTCCTTTTTTCCTTTTGTTCTTTCTTCTGAATCTTCAATTCTGAGATGCCTCTTAGATGTGGAGGCTGCGAAGAATTGATTGCATCTTGGAGGTCCTTCCACTGGTCTATGTGAACACATGATGCTCAGATGATCAGTTGTCTCTTCATCTTCTATCCTCAGCCTACAAATGTGTTTTTGTTCCAGGGAAGACACAGGTTCTGCTGCTCTTTGAATCCTCTTTCACATATCCCTCTCGCATAAGTCACATCTTCAGATCCTCACCCAGAAGTGTAATAAAATCCAAAGTTGTACAGGCACTGCACCCAGTGAGATAGAAGGGATGTTTCAGGAAAGTACACATCACACAGGGGAGGTCAGGGAATGGAAGGCTTTGGAAGTTCCATAGAAATTTATGTTCATTCCATTGTTCTGTCCTCTGTCCAAAACAGGCCAGTGTCTGGATCCTTGCCAGGGGTCTCCATTCCAAGTTAAAGATGGTCATATATAGTTAGGTTTTTATTATTTAGATTTTCCTAAGCCAGTAGTTGATTCTAGTTTCCTTTCCCTAGCCTCACAGATCTCTGCCAAGCTTCCTCTCTGTCTCATCACAGTCTTTATCCAGAGAATTTGTACAAAGGTACCTGGTCTCGTGCACACACACACCCCTTTGCCTATTTTAGGATATTCCACTATGCAAAAATCTAATAAGGTTAAGGATGAGTCTGCATTTTTTCATAGCACTTTGTGTTCAGGGCCCTGACTAGATACTCAGAGGAGGCTTAAAAGGAGAAAACTCAGTCCCTGAATGTTAGGAAATCCCCATCCCAGTAGGGAGACAGGCAATCCCACATGAAACACCCAGCAAACATTCACAGAGTAGCATGTCACTTGGTGCAAAGTAGTAATTAGGAGTGTGTCTATGTGGGGGGATAGTCATAAAGGTAAACTGAAGGAGGTGAATATTGGATCATCTTGAACAAAGATGGAGACAAAGGGGAATAAAACACATGGAGTAATCTATGTGCAAAGAGGAGTAGGGAAGCCATTGAGTCAGGAGGAGCCAAGAAGAGTTTTGGCATGGGCTTTGTTGAAAGACTTTCACTGTTAGATGACAGGGTCTATATGGTGGCAATAGGGAGCCACCACTGATTCTCAAGCAAGAAAATGTTGAATCCTTGCAGATTTAACTGCATGGGTCACATAGGATATGCTGGAATGAAAAAACAGACCCGCTTGCTATGACAAAGACTGCTTTTAAGAGAGTAGAGCTGGAGGGCAGATTAGACCCAGTGCTAGCTCTGTCCCTAAGCAGTGATGGGACCTTGGACTCATTATTACCCCTTAGTTTTCTCATCTGAAAAAAGGGCTCTTTGAGTCCTCTCCAGCTTTGACATTTTTTGTTCTCTGAGTAACTACTAGGCCTTACCAGTGGCTTTGTTTGTGGGACCTGTCTCTACCATTCAGTCTTAAGTCAACAAATATTTATTAACACCTACTGTGTACCAGTAGCATATAGTGAGGAAAATACAGTGGAGCTAGGAAATCGGGATGAGCAAAAACAAAGTCCTTGCCCCTTAGCGGTTTTAGACTAGTGGAGGCAGAAGATATTCATTGATTCTAAAATTCACCAATTAACATTTCTGAAGTCAAGATGCATCTTAAAATCAATGGAGTATCACAATTTAATTGGCAGCATTTGCTTTTTCTTAGTGCCACATAATAGTTTAATTGGAATTGTACAAATAACTAAAATTCCAATGGGTAATTGCTGAAGGGAAAGGTACATAGGATATGAGCATGTAAAGGAGGATGCTGACTGGTCCACTAGGTTGGGAGGAGGGCTTTCTTGAGGAAATGATGACATATGTGAAGGATATGTAGGCAAGGTGTGGAGTTGGTGGGAAGATTACCCTAGGCAAAGGTGGATGCCTGAGGTAAGAGAACTGAAAGAAGGTGAGTGTGGCTGAAGCACAGACCCAGGAGCTCAGCATGCAGGTGAGGCTGGCAAGGCATTTGGGGAGCAAACCTCTCACAGCCTCCCAGGCCCTGAAAATGAGTTTTGGTTTTTACCCTAAAAACAGTGGGAAGCCATTGAAGAGTTTTAAACAGGAGTAAAATGGTCTGAGGTACATTTTGATGACCTTGTTGTGGCTGTAGATTGTAGTGGATGCCGGAAGACTAGATGATGGGTGGTGAGCGTGGAAGAGGACATGGAGAGTAGATGAATTCAAGAGATCTCTAGGAGGTAAAATTACCAGGACTCAGTGATGTATTGACAAGGAAGAGGGAGGCGTGGAGAGTGACTCACGTTTCTGTCTTGGACAACTGTATGGATGGTGGCACTAATATCTGACACGGACAACCCTAGAGCCTGATAGGTCCCAAAGGTGTCTCTATAGCATCTAGGAGGTTAGATAGGATCCTAAGGCAGCTTGAGGTGGGAAAGTGTGGCACAGAGAATTGAATTTCTTTCCATATTGATTAGTTTCTGACTTCCCATGCTGAGGAAAGTTTCAAAGGACAGGAGCTGGTCTGACACGGCTAGAGGAGTTGAACACAGAAAAGGTGATTCAAGTTGGAGTAGTTTGGCGTATTTCCTACTCTTGTTATGACAGGATGGGTGGGAAAGGAGGAAACACAGATATTACTAAAGGTAGCGATTAGAAAGCATTTTTAAATGCTGAGTTTTCTTAACAGGGATAATTGAGGAAGCAGGGAAATCAAGCAGCAGTGAGGTGGCTCCTCCTCAGCCTAGACCTCTTCCCTACCACTCCTCACCTTTCAAGCAGAGAAGAGGAAGGCCAGAGCCTTTTAGCTGCATCTCCACACCTCAGTTTACTTTAAAAAATTTTTTTGAATTGGTGACATAGTAAGATGGGCTCATATTCAAAAGTTACAAAAGGGCATGTAGTGAGAAGTCTCCACCTTGGTCCCCTTCCTACTGATTTCTTGTATGTCAGCCTTTTGTCTCTGATTTTTATACAAGTGATAAAATTTTGCAGTGCTTTGCTTTTTTCCCCACTTGTTAATATATCTTAAAGGTTGTTTAATGTCAAGACAATGAGCTTCATTCTTTTTATGGCTGCACATTATTTCATTTTATGTTTGTGTGTAATTTCTTAGTTCCTTATTGATGGATATTTAGGCCAATTCTAACTTGTTTTTACAAATAATGCTGAAATGGGAACTTTGTATAAGGCATCATTTTGGCCATGTGGGGCTTTATCTATATGATGAATTTTTAGAATTAGAAGATTCTGTATAGAGTGTATTTATTCCTTCATTTTTCATTCATTCATTCAATATTTCTTGAGTATCCATGATGTGCCAGATACTGTGACAGGTGCCAGGAATCCAGCTTTCAATAAGTCAGATATGATCCCTACCCTCATGGAATATTATTACACTCTATTAAGGAAAAACATAATTACAAAGTTGTATGCAAGAGGAAACTAAAAAGGAGACCAGACAGAGAATAAATTGGAAGGATCTGCTTTAAATAGAGTTAGATTATTTAATCTGAGATTTAAAGGGTGGGATACAGCCTGCTGTTATGTATAGAATGGGGAAACAGGCTGTTAAAAGCCTCACCCACAGGAAGAGAAGTTCAGGGTCTGTAGGGGAGGTGGGGTAGAGCTAAAAAGTTGAGAGATGATTGAGAGCGGGAGACGTCAAAGAGAGTGAGTGACTAAAGATGAGGACAATTAGGGGAGGGAGCTGGTAGTGAAGAGAGTTAGGGAGACTAGCATTTATGAAGGACTAGTGACTAATTGTGTTTAGAGGGCTTTGAGATTGAATCTCTGTACCTGGATGAATTCAAGTGGGGAGTCAGGAAAAGAGGCCACTTCCTCCCTGGGTACTTTGGGAATGAAAGCCTCTTTTTAACTGGTTTGAGGGGGGCACAGCCTTGCCCACAGCAGGAGAGTGTATGAAAATCCTTGAGCAGAGCCAGTCTGTGGCTGTAGTACTGCCTCCTCTATCTTTTCGGTGGCTTTGGCAAAATGTAAACTTCTAAAATGAAGATGACATTGAAGGGGCTTGGCCAGCTGGCTCTGGGCTGGTGGAAGAGAGAGCAGACCTACCCAGGGCTCAGAGTTGGGGGTAGGCAGGAAATTGAGCTTAGAGACCCTTCCTCTGAACTTTGTGCTCCTTTTTCAGCTTCACCCCTCTGCTTCCCTTTTGCAAAAACCCATCTCTTTGCCCATCCTGGGTCCTATGACTTTTCTCTCCCTCAACAGTCGGTTCCCGATTCTGGTCCCCGGCCCCCAGCAGCGCCTGCCCCCTTCCCACCGGGGCCCCCCATGATGCCACCACCCTTCGTAAGTTTTATGTCTTTCCCTGGGCTTGGCTTTTCCAGCCTACACCCCCACTCCTCAGTCCCTCGCATTGCTACACGGTTTTAGTGGAAAAAAAACCTCTGCTGCCCTTGGAAGAGGGATGGTTTTGCTGGAGTATTGGGATGGGAGATGCTGCTGTTCAGCTCTTTGTCCATAAGTTGACAGTCCCCCTTTGTCTTTTTGTCTTTGGGACACACTGGGGCTGGGATGGAAGTGGAAGGGAAAAGATCCCTTTGAAGGTAGGGCGGGGCTGTCTTTCTCTTTCACTATTCCTTATCTATATTCTTTAAATATGCCACAGAAGTCAGGCTGGACTAGCAGCTGGTGGTCATTGAGTTGGAGAGAAAGGGGGTGGGAGGTTGGGGACTGGGGATTTGGGTACTGGACACCTGCCTTCTGGCCCTGCATCTGAGAGGCCTCTTTGGGGAGAGTTGCTGAAAAGGTGGAGCCTTCCAGCCACAGTGTGGTGGTGGTTACACTTCCCTTTTCCCTCTCCCTTCTCTACCTCTCAAGAAGCTGTGTGCTTCCCTGTTAGACCCAGAGGACCCTTTTATCGGTCTCAGTGGTGAGGAGGGAGGCAGTTTCATGCTTTGTGCTTCTCAAATTAAAGCCTTGGAATTGCCTTAGATCTGGGGTGGATGGTTCAGGTGGGAGACAAGTGGATGTTTCCTGCCAGGACCAAGGCAGTGTCTTCTCTGCCCAGTATCTCTTCCTCTTCTCATTTCCAGATGCCCCCTCCAGGAATCCCCCCACCCTTTCCTCCAATGGGGCTACCCCCCGTGAGTCAGAGACCACCAGCCATCCCCCCTATGCCACCTGGAATCATGCCCCCAATGCTTCCACCAATGGGGGCACCACCACCACTCACACAGGTAATCTTCTCCCCTGCACCAGGACCTCAGAAAACCCTGTGAATTTAGCTGAGGTTGGAGATGAGAGTGGGCATCTGGACTTCAGAAACTGGGGAGGAGGGGAGGGAGTTTCAGGCCAGGCCCATGTGGATTTGTCTGCTGAATGACTGGAGAAAACTTCCAGGCTAGGCTAAGAGCCCAGAATCCCTCAGGGGATTGCCTAAGGAGGTACCCACGTAAGCGTCCGGTTCCAACGGAATCTCTCAGGACCCTGCCCAGCCTGTGCTTGCCCCACCTGAGTAGCTGTTTTTTGTCTTCTTTGTATCCATAGATCCCAGGAATGGTACCTCCCATGATGCCAGGAATGCTGATGCCAGCAGTGCCTGTCACCGCAGCGGTAAGCACTGGGGCCAGCAGGAAGCAGGCTCTACCTTGCAGCATTCTGAGTCTGACTTGGAGTTCAGGATTATGGCCTCCATTCTTTTCCCTCTTCTCATCGGATCCACCCTGGTCCCTGGCATCATCCCCCACACTTGAGTCCTCCTCTCCAGCCATGTACTCAGCTCTTCTTGTCTCTAATTCATCCTCAAAAGCATGTACATTCTCTCTTGTTACTTACTGCTGAGCCCATCTCCCTTAAGGAACACAGTCTTGCCAGACACTGCTTACCCTCACAGAGCTAGCACTGTGGACACTTAAATACAGTCTCCTCTTCACATCTTCTTTGGAGGAAACAGTAGCACCTGGGGAGCTCACTGTGCCTTCTTGCGCCTTTGCTCAGTGTAGTAGAGTCAGGGTAGGATGTAGAATTTGACATCCACTGTGGAAGGTATGGGCTTTGGAGGCTGACTCAACAAAACACTCTCACTTGAGGAAAATGAAGAAAGTTGCTGCTGTGCGATTCCCCCTGGGATCCTAGAGCCACGGCCTCAAAGGGTGGGGGAAGCTTGTTAGGGAGCAGAGATCCCTGGGAGCAGGACACATGGATCCTGGCCTGGCCTGCTTCTCCATCCCCCATGGCCTGGCTCTGGGGGCCACTGGGCTTGGCCCCAACCCTTCCCCCTCCTCTTTCTTCGGCAGACGGCTCCGGGTGCGGACACCGCCAGCTGTGAGTCTTCTGGGGGCCTCCTCCCCCCAGGCTCGGAGGTTGGGGGGCACAGGGGAGAGGGGACTAGAGCCCACCCTGGATCATGCCTGTTGGGATGCCAGGGAGCTTGGGATGTTGATGGGACCAGGGGATATATATTGGGGATGGAGTAAGGGAGGAATAGGTTGGGAGAAGATGGGTGTTGGAGCAAGGACTTAGTGTCTTTCCTTTGGTTTCTTTTCTAGCTGCTGTGGCTGGGACAGGCCCTCCGGTGAGTTCTTCCAGCTCGGGGGTCTCTGGATAGAAAGGTCGAAAGTGGGTGGCTGATGGTTCAGTCTTTGGGCTGAGGAGAAGCAGCTTTGGGGAAGGGGCCTTGACCGCCATTCTGTGCCCCCCCCTCCCCCAGAGGGCCCTATGGAGTGAGCATGTGGCCCCTGACGGGCGCATCTACTACTACAATGCTGACGACAAGCAGTCCGTGTGGGAGAAGCCCAGCGTGCTCAAGTCCAAGGCGGAGGTCCTGAGCAGGGCTTTCTGGCCCTTCCCCTCAGCTGCCCCAAACCTACCAAGTGCTTGGTCTCCCCTGAGCCTCTAACCATACACATTATGGTTCCTCTGATCCCAAGATCCCTGACCACCCCCAACCTCCCTAGGATCTCAGGAAGTCCGCCTTCCCCCATGTTGAGCCTGACCAGGTGGTAGCTAAAAACTGTTCCCTACTCACTAGGTCCCCTTAGTTCCCCTTACTGTGGCTGGAAGGCATATGCAGCCCACTGATGTCCTCTGACCCATCCTCTTACAGTTGCTGCTATCTCAGTGTCCCTGGAAAGAGTACAAATCGGATACAGGCAAACCTTATTACTATAACAACCAGAGTAAGGAGTCCCGCTGGACCCGGCCCAAGGACCTGGATGACCTGGAGGGTGAGGAAGGGATGGGCCTGGGCAGGGGCTCTGGGGGTGGCCCTTGCTACTCTGTGACCATGTTACTTGTTTCCATTGCAGCTCTAGTCAAACAAGAGGCTGTAGGGTGAGTGACTTACCCATCTTGCCTACCTAGCCATTCATACGTGGGGCCACCTGAAGGGTGGGAGTGAACTCTCTCCCCATGATCCCTGTTCCACCAGACCTCAGTCTCCTTGCAGAGTGGTCACTCTGGCCCCAGTCTTTCTCAGGATAGAGGGACCTGCCTGCCCCTGAACACTTCTATCTCTGTTCTACTCCTGGACACTACCTTTCCGGCTCACCTGCAGGAAACAGCAGCAGCAGCAGCCACCACAGATACTGCAGCCGCAGCCTCCTCAGCCACAGCCTGACCCCCCACCTGTGCCTCCTGGCCCTACCCCAATGCCCATGGGCCTCCTAGAACCTGAGCCAGGTGGGAGTGAAGATTGCGATGTGTCAGATGCTGCCCAGCCCCTGGAACAGGGGTTCCTACTGCAGCCAGAGGAGGGCCCCAGCAGGTGAGGGCTGCCCCCGCAGCATTCTGGATGCTGGCCTTAGGCTCCCAGCCTAGTTGACTTCTACTAGGCCTCTTGGGAAGGGTATGGATATGTGGGCATGATCTCTGAAGGGCAGAACAGGGCTGCCCTAGGGAGCAAGAAGGGGGTGGTTTGCTCCTGATCACGCAGGGCACTGAGACCTACAGGGACTGGGGGATGCTGTGGCTGAGTCCCCTTTGCCTCCCAGTTCTACTGGACAGCATCAGCCGCCACAGCAGGAGGAAGAGGAATCAAGGCCAGAACCAGAGAGGTCTGGCCTCAGTTGGAGCAACCGGGAGAAGGCAAAGCAGGCCTTTAAGGAGCTGCTGAGGGACAAGGTGCTGAGAGTGGGGCTCCCAGGGTATGCCTGGAGGGGGCTGGAGATGGCCAGGCCCTGTGACCCCCACCTACTCCATTCCAGGCTGTCCCCTCCAACGCATCATGGGAACAGGCCATGAAGATGGTGGTCACCGACCCCCGTTACAGGTAGGCCTGGGTGGAGGGAGCCAGGCCCTCCAGACCCTGTTCATGAGAGCATCTGGGCCAGGAACTCCCTGAGAAACCCTAGCTCAATACTTAGGCCCCATGGAACCAGAGTCAGGAAAGTAGTAGACAAGTGAGAGTTCAAGGGGAAGAGAAGCTATGGAGGGCCTCCAGGAGGAGGGAAAAGTATCGGACATGAAACATTCAATAAATGCTTGTTGAATTGAATTGATTTGAATTGAGTTAATTGGGGAAAGGGGGCAGGATAGGGCAGAATCCCGACTGCAATTTGAGTACCCCAAAGCACAAGGATCAAGTATTAGCAGTGTCCTGGAGCCCGTCCCTTCCTCTCACTACCTCTCATTCCTTCCCACATCCCTGTCTTGCCTCCCTCTGCCCTGGAGCCTCTGTAGCCTGCTGTGCCCATGCATGGACCCCTCACTCAGTCCTGTGGAGACCCATCCCCACTGTGCCACGATCCAGCTTTGTGGGCTATGCAGGGTGGTTCACACTGACTCCTCTATTCCCCATCCCAACCCCACCCCAGTGCCTTGCCCAAACTGAGTGAGAAAAAGCAGGCATTCAATGCCTACAAGGCGCAGCGGGAGAAGGAGGAGAAGGAAGAGGCCCGACTAAGGGCCAAGGAGGCCAAGCAGACCTTGCAGCACTTCCTGGAGCAGCATGAGCGCATGACCTCCACCACCCGCTACCGGTCAGGGGCCTGGGCTGGGGTGGGGCTGGGGAACCCTGAGAACACATGGGCCCATGGTCACTGTTCTCTGCCTGCCTACCCACAGCCCATATGCTCCACAGGCGGGCAGAACAGACCTTTGGGGAGCTGGAGGTCTGGGCTGTGGTTCCTGAGAGGGATCGAAAAGAGGTTTATGATGATGTCCTCTTCTTCCTGGCCAAGAAGGAGAAGGTAACAGTCATGGGCTGGATTCGTCAGCCCTAGTCTCATCTTAGACTGTTCATGTTTTTGCTTCCTTATGGACCCTAGCCAGTCATTTTTCTGATGCGCCAGGGTTCCAGCTCCTTACTCGGAAGCTGGTGTGGCACTTGCACATCCCTTCATTTCTGCTCTGGACCTACAACCCTGGGCATGAGAGGGCAGGAAGGAGTCTCTGAGGGGTTGGTCTGTAACCCGTGCTCCTTCCCCTTTCTGGGGACATAAAACTATGCATCTGGTCCTCCTAAGGCTCCCTAGCTACCTGCCTTTCCCCAAATCCTCTGCTGCCCTGGTCCACTTGAGTACTTCTGGCTTGCCCTGCCTCACCCTGATCCTGTGGCTCCCCAGGAACAGGCCAAGCAGCTCCGACGCCGTAACATCCAGGCCCTGAAGAGCATCCTGGATGGGATGAGTAGCGTCAACTTCCAAACGACATGGTCCCAGGCCCAGCAGTACCTCATGGATAACCCCAGCTTTGCTCAGGACCATCAGCTTCAGAGTAAGCCCGGGTCTCCATTCCCACCTGTCCCTTCCCCTTTTTTCACTGACCTGGGCCCCCAGATCCTGCTTGACATGACTCCCCTACACCTCCTGGACATCCAGGAATCCCAAGCACTCAGTCCCTGCACCTCTCTGGACTCAAGATCCCAGAATGCTCAGGACACCTTCTCCTGGGGCCTGCTGTTGACCTGGAGATTGTGTGTCCCCGGAAGAAGAGCTCTGGGATAGGAATCAGAAGACCTGGAGATGATTTTTATAGCTGATGTAAACATGGTCTTAAATTGTCATCACACTGGGCATTAACTGGTGACACATTACAAAGCTATTGTTGGCCTGTAGTTGATCACTGGCTATAGCAGAAATTCACCTTCTGAAGTAGCATCAAAACCTCATTGGTTCCCAATTCTATAAACTGAAACTTCTGATCCCAAGAGAACTGATTTCATAAGCACAATTTCTTCTAGTAACTAAATTTACAAGAGCTCAATTCTTGCTAATTTTTTTCTCATACAATTAATAAATGACACCTCAAGAACCACTGTCCAATAGCCTCTCCCACAGAGTCCTCTGTCCAACTTGTCCCACCATCCTGGCTGTCACTGGCACCTTCGAAGCAGTGGGGTTGCTGGGGAGTGAGGGAGTGTCTTGCTGGTGTGGTGCCCACTGAGCCTCCTATGGTTAGACATGGACAAGGAAGATGCACTGATCTGCTTTGAGGAGCACATCCGAGCTTTGGAGAGGGAGGAGGAGGAGGAGCGGGAGCGAGCCCGGCTTCGGGAGCGGCGCCAGCAACGCAAGAACCGGGAGGCCTTCCAGGTATCTTTGCCACTCCTGGATCAGAACTCAGCTCTGCCCCAGACCATAGCCTATTCACCCATGCCCTGCCTCTTCAGCCAGGCATACTGTTTTGCCTGTGCCCAGCCCTCTCCCGGCTCCACGAGGCCTCATGCCTGCAAGCCTGTCCCTGCTGTGTCTCCTCAACTCAGCCTTGCTCTCCTAGGGAGACGAGATGTATGTACCACCCAGAAACTGCCAGCAGAGAGCACTCTAAAGGCACAGCTTGGCAACTAGGCCAAGTTTATTTTCCTTTGGTGAGGAGGCCAATAGGCATAGCTTTTCCCTAGTTTGAAGGTGGGGGTTACTTAGCCTTAACAGTAGGGGTTACTTAGCCTTAGCAGTGGGGGTTACTTAGCCTTAACACTTGGGGAAGTTGAAACAAAGTCATGGAAAGATTGTGCTGCAGGCAAGTTTCTGTTTCTTTGCCTCCTAGCCTGGCTCACTTTCTTGTTTTAGTCTGTTCCCTCTGTTTACATTCTCTCCTTTCTCATTGCTCTCTGCTTCCCTATCTGTATTTCTTCATCTCTGCTTCCCTGGCCTGCATTTCCTCAATCTGGGTTGTCTCTGCCTCTCCTGCCATCCCCTCTCTTCCTCCCCAGGCTCTGGCTCTGTCTCCCTCCCTGTCTCACTCTCCCTATAACCGGCCTCTCCCTGCCCAGACCTTCCTGGACGAGCTGCACGAGACAGGGCAGCTGCACTCCATGTCCACCTGGATGGAGCTGTACCCAGCGGTCAGCACTGATGTCCGCTTTGCCAACATGCTGGGCCAGCCGGGTAAGGCAGCCGGGCTCCCCTTCTCTGGCCTGGCTTCCTGCCCTGCTGGCCTTTCTGCATCCCTACTCCTGGGTCCTGTCCTTGACCCTACCCCTAGGCCTCGGGAAGCTGCCACCCGCCAGGCCCCCCTCCCTCCCTCCCCCACAGGCTCCACCCCTTTGGACTTGTTCAAGTTCTATGTGGAGGAGTTGAAGGCACGATTCCATGATGAGAAGAAGATCATTAAGGACATCCTTAAGGTGAGGGAGGTGTGGGGTTGTGGATGGATGCAGGCTGGGTACTGGGCATATTCTCCAGCAGGACTCCCTGATGAATACTATTGTAAAGGAGCATTGCAGCTCAATTCAGCAGATATCCACCATGATCCTTTACTGTGCACTAGGGACACAGAAATGAATAAGATACCATTTCTGCCTGTAAGGAGTTCATGGCCTAATAGGAAGATAGATGTGACAGCTGTTGTACAGAGGGGCAAGTGTTATTACAAAGACAAGAATCAGAAGAATTGACCTTTGAACTGCACCTTTAAGAACGAGTAGGTGGAGGAGGGTGGAAGTCCTGGGCATAGGGAACTAACGGAGCGAAGGCAAGATAGGGACAGGGAATGGCAGGTTTGAGGAGCAAGAAGCATAGCTAATCATAAACTGGTAGCCCACAGATAGGTTCCTTCTGGTCTATACAGTGTTTTAGAAAAGTTTGGAATTTTTGCAAACATTTTAAGATCAGGAGATTGCACATAACATCTGGATCTACAGCTTCTCTTGGAAATTTGGATTATCTCGCAGCACTGGGCTGGTTTTGCAAGGCATTCAGTGGACTTCAGCTGAGATAACACTGCCTTTTAGAAGAAGCACGTCATTTTGATCTTCACCACGTCTTATCACTTCCCTGTCATGGCAGTGAGTTCAGCTGCCATTTACCATGCACATTGCTTTTCTTTCACTAGAGAAATAGTTCTCCATATCCTTGTCTATCAAAGGTTGAAAAGTGAGCAGTGGACTAAGAGAGCCTTATGTTTCAGGTGAAGAAAACAGAAAGTATATTTGAGGAAGTGAAGAACATTCTAGTGCATTTGAGGAGGCAGTATGTAGATTTGTTAGGAAGAAGACTGTGAAGGCAGACTACCTTGTGTAAAAGGCCAAGTGAACCGCTTACTAGTTGTGTGACTTGGGCAGATTATTTAACCTATCTGAGCCTCAGTTTCCTCATCTGAAAAATGAGTTTTCCACCAAAGTATGCCTAATTACCAAGGGAAGTTAACTTGGTACCTGAGGTGAGAAGGGTCTAATAAAGCTAGAAATACCCCACTGCACACATATTTCTTTGAAGTCCCGTGTTTTGCCTTTCAACTCATGTAGGTGTTGCATATTAATACCATATTACTTCTCTATTTAATGTAAATTTAATATTTTAAAATTACTGACCTTAGGTAAAATGTATCATATCGTCTGTCCTGTGGCTTCCTCTCTTTCTCTGGAACCACATGTTCCAGTTTGGAAGTAGAGCCCTGCGTATAAAATTCCTCAAACACTGAAATAACAAATTGAGATTTTTATCTCGTAAGTAATGGGGAGCCAGGGAATGATATGAGCAGATGATGTCTTGGAAAAACCCTGGTGAGAGTGTAGAGTAGCACCTCTCAGACTGAGGATAGGGAGTGCTAGGAGGATAGTAACCTGAAGTCTCAAGATACTAAGAATGATAGTGGCAAGTAATTCAAATAAATTCTGAGCTTGAGTCATTCTCTTCCTGCTGCCCCCCATACCTCTGCCCCACTGTCAGGGCCTTTTGGTAGAAAAGTCTCAGCGGCCCTGGCCTCTTGAGGCTGGTTCAGAGGTGTGGGAGGTGGGCAGCGAGACCAGTCAGGAGGCTACTCCAGTGATCTAGGTGGGAAATGAGCTTGGCCATGGCCCTGGGGATGAGGAAAGAGCTGTAGTGCTCCAACTATTTCTGAGCCTCCCTAGGTTTCCTCAGAGGTGCCTTGGGATAAACAAGGGAGGGTTAGGCTCCTTCCTCTGTGAACGAGTACAACAGCTTGTTTCTCTTTTATACATTGAGGTTCTGCAAAATATTTTTATTGAAAAAAAAGTTTCTGCTGTTATTTAAAAAAAAAAAATGAACGTTTAAAACCAGTAGGATAGAGTCGCTCAGAAGTAGAATTGATAGATTTGTGTGTGTGTGTGAAATAGAGGGAAAGAAAGGAGTGAGTTGGAGTTGTTGGCAGGAGGGGATGATGGCACCAGAGGCAAGGATTCAGTGGGAAGAACAGGGCTGGAGAAATAGGAATTCCATTTGGGGAATAGTCAGAAACAACCTGGAGCAGAGAGGAAAAAAGTAAATACCATATGCTAAATTGGATAATCATGTAAAGTAGAAATATCTAATCCCAGGAGAGCTAAATTTTATTGGACGCTCAACTTTTAGCTGCAGAGTGGCTGGTACTGCTGACAGGCCTGCAGGAGGCCTGTCTTCACTGAGTCCTGTCTCTCCAAACCTCCAGAGAAAGAAGCTGCTTCTTTCAATTCCCCTTCCTGTTCCTCCTTTCGGGCTCCTGCCTACAGAAGGCCGACAAACCCAGGAGTCCCTGGCCAGGAGTATCCCCAGGCCATCCACCAGTCAGGTGGACTATGATGGTGCCTCTTATCCCATAGGATAATGCCAAGAGCCTCGAACTTGGAACAGCTGGAAGACAAGGATCCAGGCCTGAGAGATCCATGGAGTGGTGGGGTGGGGGGACAAAATGCTCACGGGAAATTAATTTTTTGGGATCTGCTGAATATGAAGTGTCTATGAAATATCCAGTCCAGTATAGGTCTGAAAATGAGAGAGGTGGGAACGAGATAGCTGGGGACAATGCAGATTGAAAAGATTGATTAAGTGTTCTCAGGGGAATAAGTACATGCAAGAGAGGCAGTAAAAGAGGTCAAAAAGACTGGAGACCCTAGAGAGAGAAGTATTGAAAAAGTGAATAGCAGAGGTGCTGAGAACCAGATGAGCGAGGACTGAGAAGGGGCTCTATTAAGACATGAACAACCTTTGGGAGAGTACTGTCCACGAAGAGGGTAGAATGGATGCAGCATAGACTTGGGAGTCCGGTAATTTCTGCTGTTTATATGTTAAGATCTCTGCAAGTTATATAATGACTTAGAGTCTGTTTCCTCATCTGTAAAATGGGGATAATTTATGTGCAAGGTTGTGAGAATTTAATAACATTTGTAGTGTCATGCTTATGGTAGGCTCAATGTTTATTCATTTCCTTTGTGCTTCATTTAAACATTTTGAAACAAAGGCAGCAGAGATCGTAAGCTAGAGTAAGGTGAAAGCAGGGTAGAAAGGAAGTTCCAGGTTAAGTGAGGTGTGTGGTTGATGCAAGGAGCCAGTGAAAGAGTGAGATTGAAGCTTTCAATTCCCTGAGATTGACATGTTTGAGAAAGGCTGGAGACGGTGGGTTGAGAAAGCCCTCTTGGAAGAAGCAGGAGCATGCCTTTGCTGTCAGCAGGTTTTTTAGGCTCAAACAAGTTAGAGCTGTGTGAAGAGCGAGGGAGGGAAGTCAGGCCTGTGCCCTGGCTGCCTGGAAAGCCAGACCTCAAACTTCAAGTGGCTTTACTTTCTACCAGGTTGTCTTGGGCCCAATGAGATAACTTTCTTAAACCTCTGTTTTATTGGATGTTGTAAGACTTAGATGAGAAGTACAGAGCCTGGCCCGTGGGGCTTTGAGAATGTGAGGTGTTTTTAATATTGTTTGGGAGCTGCACACCAGATGGCCTTTATTTCTCCCATGGACCAAGTGATCTATGTGGATGTAGTGCTTACAAGTACAGGCTTTGGTGTTGGAAAGACCTGAGGTAGAGTTCTTGCTCAACCTGTACTTATTAGCTAAGACTTTGGGCAAGTGCTCTAGTTTCTCTTAATCTTGGTTTCTCCTTCCACATAAAATCAGGAGATTAGGATTTATGTTTAAATTTAGATAGGTGAAGATTAAATAAGATAATGTGTGTGAAGCACTCAGCTTGGTAGCTGGTACATAGAAAGCACTCAGTAATCTATCCAAAGGGTGAGACTAGCAGAGGTTGACTGAGAATGCAAGGATGTTACTGAGCAACAAGGCTCCAAGCTTTAAGCCAAAAGAACAAAGAACTAATTGTGAGAAACTCAAGAATCCATCAGCAGACATGGCATGTGCCAGCATGTACACACCCTGCCTCCCCTACCTTTTCCCCATGTGATCAAACCCTCCAGCTCCCTGTGACCACAGCCAGGGTAGGCATGGGGGCTCAAGCATCAGATGGTGAGGCCTTGGACAACTTAGTTTCCGAATGTATCCCAGCCACGTGGATCTCTTGGGGTGGGGAATTTTTTGAGCATCCTGTAGTTGGACCCCTCTGCCTGCCCTGGAGGTGCCTCCTGCTTCATGAGCTGCTGTGCCTACAGGACCGGGGCTTCTGTGTGGAGGTGAACACAGCCTTTGAGGACTTCGCCCACGTCATAAGCTTTGACAAGAGGGCTGCTGCGCTGGACGCAGGCAACATCAAGCTGACCTTCAATAGTGTGAGGGGTCGGGCAGGGCGGTGCTGTAGCCAGGGTCCTGCTCACACTCATCCCTGTGTCTTGTTCTATTCCTTCTTGCTCACTGCCCCAGTGTAACTACTCCCAGTTCAGGGGATGATGATAGGAGCCCAGACCCCAACTTCCCATTTCCTAAGGTACGCCAGAGTAGGGCCCGTGCACCCACTCTCCTGAGTGACCCTGTTCTGTGTGCTTTCTCCCCTCAGCTGCTGGAGAAAGCAGAGGCTCGGGAGAGAGAGCGAGAGAAGGAGGAGGCACGAAGGCTGCGGCGCAGGGAAGCTGCCTTTCGAAGCATGCTGAGGCAGGCTGTGCCTGCTCTGGAGCTGGGCACTGCCTGGGAAGAGGTCAGGACTGCAGCCTGGTGCCAGACGCCACCCCTCAGTCCTGAGGGCAGCGGTGCTTCTCCACCACTGGGGGCTCACCCCAGTCATAGCACAGCTGGGGCTAGCTCCAGCTCCCTTCCTTCCTCCACCCCAGCCCTGCCCTGTGCTCACGGCGGCACCCATGCCGTGCCGGGGCTGGTCTGATCAGCAGTGCTCTCCCGTTCAAGGTCCGTGAGCGCTTTGTGTGCGACTCAGCCTTTGAGCAGATCACCCTGGAGTCGGAGCGGATCCGGCTCTTCCGGGAGTTCCTGCAGGTACTGGAGGTGAGGCATAGCTTCTGGTCCTCTTCATCTGTCCTAGGCTCTTGAACAGCCAAGGCCAGTTCCACAGAGAAACTTCCCCCTTACCCCCTGTGGCTCCCCTTTCCTTAAACGACTAAGGAGGTGGGGGTCTTAGGTGCTCTAGGGCTTGAGTCTCAGAGGAGGCAAAACTAGGCTTTAGGTTTCAGGGTCCTTCCTGAAGCTAACCCTGGTGCCTTCCTCATCCCTCTCTCTGCCTCTACCAGACTGAATGCCAGCACCTCCACACCAAAGGCCGAAAGCACAGCAGAAAGGGCAAGAAGCACCATCACAAGCGTTCCCACTCACCCTCAGTGAGTTGGCGGGTAGAGGGATGTGGGTGAGGCTGGACTGTCTTAGAGAAATAAGAATTACTTTTCTTGTTTTTCTCCTACATCACCTCCCCTAGAGGAAGCTTTGAGGATTCCTTTAGCCCTGGATTCTCCCCTTTGCCCCCAATTCCCAGACTTGAGGCTTCTAGGGACCAGGAAACCTCCGCTGACATGTATCGCTGATATCCCCAGGGCTCCGAGTCGGAAGAGGAGGAGCCACCCCCACCGTCTCTCCGGCCCCCCAAGCGGAGGCGGCGGAACCCCTCTGAGTCTGGCTCTGAGCCCTCTTCCTCACTTGATTCAGTTGAAAGTGGGGGTGCTGCCCTTGGAGGACGGAGCTCCCCATCCTCCCGCCTTCTCCTTGGATCAGGTAAGCGGTTGGAAGCTGGGGAAGTTGGCCCAGACGGAGAGGAGGTCCTGGGGAGCCCCAGCCTAAGGGAAGAGTGGATTGAGGGCTGTCAGAGTATGTAGAATTTCCCATCCTTGTCCTGGCAGGAAACTGGGAGAAGGGGGAAAACTGGACAGACTGAGACCTTCTCAGGCCAGTCCCTGTCAGTGATGAATGAGCAGAAATAGATGGACTGTGGTAGAGAAAAGGGTGAGCCCTCCCTTCCCCCATAGGACTTACTGTGGGGTTTTCTATCTCCAGATCATGGCCTTCGGAAAGCCAAGAAACCAAAAAAGAAAACTAAGAAGAGAAGACACAAGTCGGTGCGTAGAGAAGGAACTTCTACCCAAGACCCTGCTATTGTGTATGGGTCTCTTCCACCCGCCTCCAGGCTTCACAGGAACTGAGGAGGCGGGCTCTGGGCTCTTACAGAACAGTCCTGAGAGTGAGACAGATCCTGAGGAGAAAGCTGGCAAGGAGAGTGATGAGAAAGAACCAGAACAGGACAAGGACAGGGAGCTCCGACTGGCAGAGCTCCCTAACCGCTCCCCAGGTTTTGGAATCAAGAAGGAGAAGGTGAGA